GTGTGAATGATTTTTTGCCTGAGAAAATAAGCAAACAAGCAATGTCAGAGTTTTAGTAGTATATATCACCTTACGCCTTTTAATAAAGATGGGAACATTGACAGGGAAATAATGTAATAGCCAACGATCGCTGAGAGGTTTTCGTTTGTAAAATTTTGTTGTATTTGCAAATAGTAACTATGGAGACGAGGTAATAAAATAAAAATCAAGTCGAGAACAAAACCACAACAATGAGGGGAACAGTCATTATACCAGTTTTACCAGCCACAACAATGTGGGGGAATAGTCATTATACCAACCACAGTAGTGACATAATGTGGTGTTCCTTAGGACTTGCCCTCAGGTGGCTCAGCGGCAAATCTGAGGGCTTATAATCTAAAAACCGAGTTTCGATACTCGCAATGTGTAAATCACAGATAGTTAGTTCATTGTGTAGCTTTGCCTCTCTTCAGCTCAGCGATAAGTCTGAAAATTGATAAGCTAAAAAATTGGGTTTCGATGCCCGTGGTAAGCATAGCACAAACAACCCATTGTATAGCTTTGGGCTTAACAACAGAGAAACGCACTGTGAAATAGAAAACGTACGTACGATCTTTAGGTTTCCAAACTTAATGTCTTTTGACGGTATTTCTATTTTTCAATATAAAATTATTTACTTGTCATTGTTCAAATCAAATGTACACATCACAATGTTCGTTGGTCAGTGCATTTTTTTTCTTTTTCGCAAAAACGGAAGGCGAAAGATGGATCCATAGATACCTGGTCCAGCACGCTAACTACTGGACCATACTTTGTTCCATGGCGAAGGAATAAATGAAATTTGAAATTATATATGTAAACAAATAACCAACTATAACACAGAATGATTCTGTTATTTTTTATTATTAAGATATATGAAGATTTCGTTTGTTTGTTTTGAATTTCGCGCAAAGCTACACGTTCCTAATGTAGCAGTGTAAGACTAGAGGGAAGGTAGCTAGTCATCACCACCCACCGCCAAATCTTGGGCTACTCTTTTACCAACGAATAGTGGGATTGACAGTCACATTATAACGCCCCCACGGCTGAAAGGACGAGCATATTTGGTGGAACGGAGATTCGAACCCTCGACCCGCAGATTGCGAGTCGAGCGCCTTAAACATTTGGTCATATATGAAGATATAAACGTTGAATTTAACAATTATCACAACATGTTAGGCGTCATTTTTAGAAATTTGAGTTTAAAAAGACCTAAGTTTTCATCTATTAACATTGAAGTCGAAACAATATGTACTTGGTTTCCATAACATCCTAGCTAACACAAAAACGTTGCATTCTAAAACTATTTACACAAAAACTACCTTCAAATACAATTGTACCATTAGATCACTTTTACTTAATCGGGACAAGTTTATAAAACCGAAAAAAAAAGTCTTTAACATCCTATGACGTTGTAAAAAGTTTGAGTCTATTGATCTCCATTATGGTAACGTAGAAATAGTAAATTTATGAATTTTAGAAGATTTAAAATTGTATTTTTGTTTTGTTTGTTTGCTATTAAGAGCAAAGCTCAAACAATGGGCTATCTATGATGTGCCCATTGCATGAATTGTACCCCAAGTTTAGTGTTGTAAACACTCAAGCTTACCGTTGAGTCACCAGAAGAATTTAAAACTAGATCAAAATCACAATTTCATTTTTATACTTTTTATCAAACAGGAAAATAATAATTACATTCACAAAGTGTTGTGTTACGATTAGCTTTATCTAAGTACTAAATCTTGCTTTTACAACACTAAAACCGGGTTTGATAATAGTGGTGGGCAAAGCACAGATAGAACATTCTGTAGCTTTGATCTTAACAACAAACAAAAATTATATTTTTACTTATAATTAAGCCTTTCTCTATAGTTTCTCTTAACAATGTTATTTATTTAAACGTGTATGGCACACATTTTATCATACATTTCATTATACTGTTACCGTTTAAAATCTGTTCTTTCTAAACTTCTGATTGAATACGAAAACTTGCTCAATAGTTAATTGTTTTTTTTTTGTATTTTGAATATTATGAACTTTTTTTGTGGGGTTTTAATGCTCATGATGGAATTTGTTTTTTGGTATTACCGTGTTTTTAATATTTATTATCAATTGCTTTTAATAAAAACTCTTACCAGCTAAGCAAAAATATCATTTCCTTCATAAAAAATATAATAATCGTTTCTGATTGAAATCCATATTAAACTGAGGTTTTTAGTGAATGTCAGTCTTAAGATGAATAAAATATAAAGTAGTTTATATATAACCAATCTATATACTACTAAAATTCTGAGATTGTTTGTGTGCTTGCTTGTCTGTAATCAAATACAGCAAAAACGGCGCACAATAGCGCCACATTTGTAATGAAATGAGAATAGAAACAGAATAAAACCTAGATGAATTTAAGTACACTAGATGGTGCCACATATCGGTTTATCTATCTCTATTCGTTTTCCACCTGATGAATCACTTTAAAATATCTTCTATACAACAATATATGAACAACAAAAATTAAATGATGAGATGAAAATGTGTTATAACGGCACGTAGAAAGAACAAGAATAAAATGGACCTACAATATTATTGACGGGTATCACTCATTATACCAATTTTACCAACCATAAGAATTAAGGGAACAGTCATTATACCAGTTGCACCAACCATAACAATAAGGGAGTCATTATACCAGTTTTACCAATCATGAGAATGAAAGGAACAGTCATTATACTAGTTTTACCAACCATCAGAATGAAGAGAACAGTCATTATACTAGTTTTACCAACCATCAGAATGAAGAGAACAGTCATTATACCAGTTTTACCAACAAAAATTGAAGGAAACAGTCATTATACCAGTATTACCAACCATAAAAATGAGGGGAACAGTCATTATACCAGTTTTACTAACCATTAAAAATGAGGGGAACAGTCATTCTACCAGTTTTATCAACAATAAGAATGAAGGGAACAGTCATCATACCAGTTTTACCAACCACAAGAATGGAGGGAATAGTCATTATACCAGTTTTACCATCCATAAGAATGAGGGGAACAGCCTTTATACCAGTTTTACCAACAATAGGAATGAGAGGAACGGTCATTATACCAGATTTACCAACCATAAAATGAGGGAAACAGTCATTAAACCAGTTTACCAACCATAAGAATGAAGGAAACAGTCATCATACCAGTTTTATCAACCATAAGAATGAAGGGAACAGTCATTATACCAGTATTACCAACCATAAAAATGAGGGGAACAGTCATTATACCAGTTTTACTAACCATAAAATGAGGGGAACAGTCATTATACCAGTTTTATCAACAATAAGAATGAAGGGTACAGTCATCATACCAGTTTTACCAACCATAAGAATGGAGGGAATAGTCATTATACCAGT